CCGATGTAAGTTCCATTGATTCAGTGGGTCTACTCCAGCTATGACTCATGACTTCATTGCAGTCAATGACTCCCAGCGGGATATGTTCCCAGTACAGGCAAGTGTGCCTAAGACTGGAGCTGTACAATTTTGTACATGTTTACTTGGAAATAAGTAACTGACTCTTACATTTCCTTCAAGGTAAGAGTATGGTGAGAAATACAGTTCTAGTAATAGTTCATATTTTAATTTAAGATGTTTTGTACACTTGTTTACTATATTTCCAAGAGTGCAGAATATTCCAGAAAAGAAGTTGCAGTATAATAAAATACAAAGCAGGACTGATAAAGAGTAGAAAAATACATGAAGCACAGATCTTGCAAGGGCATAACTGAACAGTAAGTGGTTTTGCCTGCCTCCAGGAGGATGAGAGGGAGAAGGGAGAGCACATGGGCTGCTTTACAGGAGATAGGGCTGATATCTGTTTGAAGAGATTTTTCTTTGAAGAGCTGAGCTCTGGCCAGTTCAAAGACAGAAATCCCTCAAAAGGGACAGCAGGAGACTTAGAAAATGCCCATTCACACTTAGCAGCTGGGCACCACACTCAAGAGGCATATAGGTACCGGTAATCTAATCTGAAATCTTGGGCCAGTATGATGAGCCGTGTTGTATATTTTCATACAAAATTCAGTACAGATAAATGATCTGCTACTTCTAAGTTTATACTGGCCAAAGGTAATGTTTCCTGTTTCTGATTTTAATCATACTTGTTTATACTGTAAACAAGTATTATCGTATTTGTTTATATTGTAAACAATTATTCCTTTTGTATGTCTGATTAGGTAGGTGCATATGCATATACACCTACCTAATCAGACATACAAAAGGAAAACTCAACCCGCCTCATCCTACTGATGAGTATAGCTGTATGCTGTGTGTAATTCAAAAACGATACTTGTTGCATTTGCATTTTCCATTGTTAGTTTTCAGATCTTGATATACGCTTATAATTAAATCTGTTGAGGGTTCATCAGGTTGCGATTATCTCTGTTTGGGGTTGAGTTTTTTTCTTTTATTTTTACGGGTGGGATTGAGGAGTGAGGCAAGAGATCCATCCATTCATCCATCATTTGTTTAATCCTGACCTACTACTTCCCATTTCGAACCCTTTCTTCAGGTGCAGGACTGTTTCTTTACGTATAAAAGAAGGTTGCAAACCTCAAATATAATACAAAGGCTTTCTAAAAGATGACTTGCTTTTTTCTTCTTCTTTCAGGAACCGTTTCTTCCTCATCTGTATTTTCATGGTGTTAATAAGGCATACTTACCGTACCCTGTCATCCTGGACTGATGAATCTAAGGGATAGAACAGGTAATTTATAATCTGATTATAGATTTCCTTTTGGTGACTCAGGCAGCCTCCTTAATCTGGTTCCCCTCATTTCTTTTACTTTTTCTTTTCCTTTTTGGATAAACAGGCTTTGTGCTTGCAGAATCTACTCTGCTCTTTAATTTGGATCCCAGAGTCCGTCAACTGGATCCAGGAGGAAAAGGGTGACTTGGGGGACACATGTAAAACTTTAAATGAAGTCATAGAGCACTCCTGACCAAATGCTAATCCCCAAGGGTTGCTTTTTGTTTGTTTTGCTGTTAACAAAATGTAACTCAAAAGCTTCTCATGCCTGTAACTACCGGAGAATTTCACAACTTTAGCTTTCAAGTACATTTCTTGCATGTTGTACTAATGGTTCCCGGTGCCGTTTTGAAAGGTGTGAAAATAATAGGTGTGTAATAACAACAAAAAACACAAGTATGCATCCAGATAGACTAATGTAACTACCGGAGAATTTCACAACTTTAACTTTCAAGTACATTTCTTGCATGTTGTACTAATGGTTCCCGGTGCCGTTTTGAAAGGTGTGAAAATAATAGGTGTGTAATAACAACAAAAAACACAAGTATGCATCCAGATACAGTCAGAGCAATGTTAGATACGATTATGGGCAGAATGTTTGCAAATGCAGAATGTAACAACTCCAGAGGTGGAATGCTCCATTTTCGCTCAGGCCATCTCCGGTCACAGTTATGCAGGCTGGAGATGAACCTGTTGAAAGGAAAGCGCCTCTTCCCTTCAAATTCCTCAGTTTCACATAACAGACGGTTCTGCACTTGGTTCAGAGCAAAGAAGTTACTGGCCTATAATTGTTTCGGAAACACCCATGTTTTTCTTTTTAAGCAAATATATGGGAAGAAAGTGCAGATATACAGACCTCTTTAAATATCGGTGAGTACACCTCTGGGAAGCCATGTCTTATTTTCCACATTGGTGCAGTGTTATCACTGAAGATGATCCCAGAGTTTTTTACCAAACTCCGAGAGGCAGTGGAAGATAGGAGGGCCTGGCGTGCTCTGGTCTATGGGGTCACAAAGAGTCAGACACGTCTTAATGACTAAACAACAATAAATCACTGAAGATATTCCAGCAATAATAATGCTGTGGAGTACTTTCAACATGGACTTGTACGTGTTACGAGTTTGTGGCAAAGAAAATACCGTGTAACGTGCAGCATTGTGGCACTACTCCAGTTATGTCAGGCTACAGGCAGTTCCTAACAGAGTAGAAAGCAAAACAATTTTGAAACAGATTCAGCTGCACCTACCTTCAGAACATCTGAGATGGCATTGCAGGTACAGTGGTGCCTTGACTTATGAACTTAATTGGCTTAGGAAGATGGGTGTAAGTCATAACTCGAAGCATTATTTCCCATTGAAATCCATTGAAATGCAATTAATCTATTCCAGCCGAAGAAAAAAATAACACATACAAAAATCACTGCAAGACTTATTGGAAACGTGATTAATCCCTTCCGGCTGAAGGGGGGGATTGAAAAGCAATAAAGCGTGTAAGACCCATTGGAAATGCACAGAAAACAAAGGGACCATGTCGGAAATGCGCAGAGAACAAAGGATGCAGTTCGGAAATGCAAAAGTGCCTCTTCCCTTCGAATTCCTCACTGTTTCACATAACAGACGGTTCTGCACAGGAAGCATGCAAGACCCATCGGAAATGGGGGGGAAACCCCAAAAGTAACCAACCCCCCAAGACCCATCGCAAATGGGGGGGGAACCAAAAAGCAAACAAGACCCATCACAGCACAGAAACATAAACCCCCCAGCCCAAAACCATGCTGCAAAAACACCCAGAACAGTTTTTAAAAAGTAGAAAACAGCACCTTACCTTACCAGGCAACCTCCTCCAATAGCACACTCTCTAACTGCTGGGGTGAAAGAGCTACAAGAAGCAGCCTCGTCATCACCTACAGTTAGAAATTTGAATTTCTCATCTTTTTCCCTGCTTTTTTTCTGTTTGTAAGCGGAAGCTCCGGTTGCAAGTAGAAGCAAATTTTTGCGGCCGGAGCTGGTCGTAACTTGAAATGGTTGTAAGTAGGGATGTTCGTAAGTCGAGGCACCACTATACTGTATAACCTTCCCACACACATGCACATATATCTGAGAACTGTAATCAGGCCAAGAATTCTGGCTGTACCTGTAGAGTTGTACACACTTGTAACATGGCCCCTATGAGTTTTCCCTTCTTGATTGTTTTCTGTTTTGTTTTGTTTTGTTGTTGTAGCTGGGTTTTCTACAATTTAGGTAGCTATTAAATCAGTGGAGGTTGTAATTGCTGTGGAGCAGGAGGAAAAAAAATGGTTGCACCCACCTAAAAATATTGCAGGAACATTGGGCGTGGTGCCGTAGAACCTTCTGTGAAAATGCTCCTGAGCTCTTAGGATTCTTTGATTAGCTGGTTACAATCCGTGGTAATGGAGGAGAAGGAGGATGCCAGTGGAAATTTCATGATTAGCTTCAACTGGAATTCTCTCCCGCCCCTTGATGGGAAGAGTAGTGTAGTAGCATAAGCACTAGTAAAATAAAAGGGCGTGGGATCACATTGTGGCTGGTTGCCTGCCCGCCCCACCCTGCTTGGCAAATCCGGAACATGATTTCTTGTCACCCAAGCCAATTGGTGAATCTAATGCAAATCACAAGTTGGGAAATAGCTAATTCTCTAATTACACTTAATGTTTTCAGTTAGTTCCCATATTTCAGCCAGATTGAGATAGTCAAGGTTTCACCTCTCCTTTCTCTGTGTTCTTGAATAAAGTCCACCTGATGCAGAGGTTAGGTTTCTGATTTAGCAAGATAGAACTCTTCTCTCCTATTGGTCATTCTTTGCATATGATGTGCTGTTCTATTCAGAATTTTTATCCCTATTTTAATTAAACACATACATTGTCCCTGACAACTTGGTAATGCATAAAGACACACCACAACCATCTACATATAGGCTAATTTTCATGCCAGGGGTTGCATGTTGTGCTCAGTCATTTTTGCAAGGTTCCTTTTTCCCCCATTGGGAGCAGTTTGCTGAAAGATAAGCACTCAATCATGGAAGAAATAACTTGAATTATTGGGAGAGAGATAAACAACTAGTGCAGCAAACTAGTTTAACTAGTCTTAAACTAGTTAAGGGGTCTTTCACATACAGCATTTGTTCCACCTTAAGAATATGGCTATTTTCCTTTCAGCGGTCACAGGCTCAGTACCTAATCACTAAATCCTGCCAATAAAATCAGTAAAATTTCTACATAACTAAACTTTCCTGACAAGAAAAACTTAGCATTGAATCTGAACTGGAGCTCCTAGCTTTTTACCAACAGGAAATGAGTATTAAAACTCTTGAATTCAAATTCTGATTTGTTTAAAGAGCAACAAAGCCAAGCCAATTTTAGTTGTTCAGTGAAATTTTTGCTGGCCATATTCCTGGTTAATTTAACAGCTTCTGGTGGTTATTTTTCTTTCCAGCCCGTGCCTTAGTTGAGGTAAGTTGTAAAAACTCACCCATCAAATGCAACACCAGTGAAAATGACTGGTTGATAAAAGTTGCTGGTTTCAGAGGATTGGGTTGTGTTTGTCATGCTTCTCAAAAGATGACCACTATGTTGCTTTCATTCCAGAACTCTCTATTGTGTAAACGAGCTGATGGACGAAGATGAGAAGGACAGGGCAAAGAGGTATAGAACAGAAGAGCCCTTTGCATTAAAAAAAAGATGAGTCTGGATCTGAAAATATAACTGTTAACAATGCCACTCCTGACAATAGTGCTTCCAAGCTCCAAAGACAAAGCTGAAAAAAGAAGGATTTGTACCCTTTCCTTATTCTGTAGCCCAGTGGATTGTATAACATGCAAAAGAATTTTCCTTATATCTATCAAGGGTAACTAAGGATAAAACATGCAAAAATAATTTTAAAAAAACACTTTGACACATTAAAAAACTAACAGATTTCATTCATTGATTTCAATCCATTTCTTCAGTTTTGTCAGAGGGAATGGGTCATAATCCACAAAAGCTCACACTGAAGTAGATTTGTCAGTCTTTGAGGTTCTATGGTAATTATATTTTTGTTTCTGTTTTGTTGCACATGCTGAAACAGACCAACACGTCTAACCTCTTTGAAAATGGTTGCTAAGGGAAAATATAGTTGCTCTATGCACCTTGTGTTCCTTTGAAACTAGGAATTAAATGACCGAAAATATGGATCTGCTCTGTCATTATCCCGCCCACACCTTTCTCCAGAATTGGGGTGTTGCTTAGAGTCAAGATGATGGGCTGGAACAATCGATGGCCTAATGCATCCTCTTTTCCATTAAGGCCCAAGCCATGGATTCATTGGGAGGGGGTCACTGGTAGTCTCGAGCCGCAGATACTGGGAGGGGAAAGCTGTTTGCCGAACGGACTGTTCTTGCAGTCTCCAGGTGAACTTGCTACTTGCACAGGGGTTGAAGAAAGTTGTCCCGAAAAACTGAACTGTAGGTATAATTGACTTTTGTGCTGAAATGGGGCAGGGGGAGGATGTACCATCGTATATATATATTTTTTTGACCAGGGACCCAAAATGTCTTGGGACGGTCCCCTCAACTCCGAAACCATTTGATAAATTGTTCCAACCGTCTTATGCTGTTTCCAATGGGCTTTTCTGTTTGGATTGGGTAGGGCATCACGCAACAAGTCAGAGAAGAAAAGAAGAGACCAGTTCAATGTCCTCATTAAGGAGCTGTGCACCATGCTCCAGGGCCACGGCCATCCGCTCAAGATGGATAAATCCACCATACTGCAGAGGACCATCGACTTCTTACAGAAACAGAAAGGTACTTGAATGGCATTCAAGGCCCCTCTTGATGCATCCTTTCATAGAGAAGCCACTGTTGTTAGTGATATATAGTGAACTTCGAACATTTAAAAACATTTATTTCATGCTTTAGAAAGCTTTGCTGAACCTTGTAATAGTCACTCTCCAGTGTGGTTCTACAGGGAAACCCAAACAAGGGCTGGATATATTTCCAAATAACTTTTTTAAACGGCAAGGCATTGGTATAAGAGAAGAGAATAGTATTGTGATTTTTAAGGAAATGCATTTAGGGGGAGTATAAAAAAGGGACGTGGTTGCACTGCAGGTTAAACCGCAGAAGCCTCTGGGTTGCAAGGTCGAAAGACCAGCCATCATAAGATCAAATCCATGTGGCAGCGTGATCTCCCGTCGCTTGTCCGAGCAGTTTGAAAGCATGTAAATGTGAGAGATAAATAGGGACCACCACAGTGGGAAGGTAACGGCGTTCCGTGTCTAGTCATGCTGGCCACGTGACCACAGAAATGGTCTACGGACAAACGCTGGCTCTACAGCTTGGAGACGGAGATGAACACCGCACCCTAGAGTCGGACATGACTGGACTAAATGTCAAGGGGAACCTTTACCTTTACAAAATAATAAATCCAGAAGCTCATCCTTTATGGAGCTCATCCTTGATAGAGTTTTCTTACTTGTTTATGTGGTTCCTCCTTTTCTTTTTGCTAAAAGTTTCATATACGGTAGATGTAAGAAGTTGACTTTTAAATCAAATATTTTTTTAAAATCTATTTACCGGTTAAACAGAAATGTTGTAAATTTTATCCCGTCAATATCTGGTAGATGCTCTGCAGCAGGTGGAGGTAGAGGAAGATCTGTTGGATTTACTGGTAGGGTCCAGCAATTAGAAACGATAATAAAAGGAAACAAAATTTACACAACACAATTTGCAATGTAATAGAAACGTGCAACAGAAAAAAAGCTGCTTATCCAATAAAACAGGAAGTTTTCTGCCAGGTTGAAAGTAATAAAAATCAGCTGATTTCCTGGGTTAAAGGATTCCATGATTTAAGAGCAGACTCAAAGAAAACCCTTTCTGCTACTCATCTAAATCAAGTCTCAAAAGTGCTGAACCTATTTTGGGGACAACAGTAAGCATTTTGGATAGCTTTTGTAAAGTTTGGACTAAAAACCAGAGCAGAGCCATGGCATCAGATTCTCCAGCCTGCACTGAAGTGGAAAAGGGCCTTTCTGGCTGAATGCTGTGGGGAGAAGGCAATTCTTAAGGAATCACCATTATCTTGTTACTACCTCCTCTACACAGGATAATTCTTAATTGTTAAGAACTGGATCAGAGCAAACTGCTATCTAGCTTAGCAACCTGTTTCCCCCAGTGTACAACTGGCTGCCATGAGCCAGCCCACAATCAGGATGTGAAGGCACCTCTTGTTGTTATGTACCAACAAGTCACTTCTAACTTATACCAACTTTGACAGTGTTTTCAAGGTACCGTATGTGAGATATTCATGCAGTGGTTTATCTTTGCCCTCCACCAACATCCATGAATTTCCATCACTGAGCAGGAATTTGAACCCAGTACTCTTGGTTCCTTATTATGTGACATTCTGCTTGCTACATCACACTGGTTTAGCCCTCTCCAATCAGAGCTTGAGGACCTGAGAATAGCAGTTTCCCCCTAGCAACTAGTAATAGAAAGCAGAGCTTGCTAGGTGTTTTTTTTAAAAAACAGTTTCTAGAATCTCTCAGCCCACGGTCAGGCTGTTTTGCCACTCCCTTTGAACATCTGTAAGCAGTTGCTTCCAAGTGATTAAGTTTCTTAACCAACTGTGAACACAGTCATTAGTTATATCCTGCAACAGCAGGCAAGGGGGTAATATATGAGTATAACAGATCTTACTTCCAGGTATTTCATATTATACCCAAACAAAGTCCACAGAAAAAGTTGGAAAAGGTTTTTATTTATTTATTTATTTATTTGTTTGTTTGTCTGTCTGTCTGTCTGTCTGTTTATTTATTTATTTATTGAGTTATTGAGTTACTGAGTTATTGAGTTATTGAGTTATAGCTCCTGGAATTTTCCTTCCAGCATGGCTGTTGGCCATGTCAGGTTTGAGATTCAGTAGCCTAAAAAAGTAAATTTCCAGCCTCTGCCGAACCCAACAGGTTCTTAACTATCTTTCTCTCTACTGTTCTTTTCTGTTTCAGAAATCACAGCACAGACAGAGGCCTGTGAGATTAGGCAAGACTGGAAGCCTTCATTCCTTAGCAATGAGGAGTTCACCCAGTTGATGTTAGAGGTGAGATGAAATGAGAATTGTGCAGACTAAATCGAGGCAGGAGGAGGACAGTAAAAGATGTTTGGTGCTGCTTGCCACCATTCATCTCACAGGCCTTCTGAAAACCGCTTCTTGATTAACAGAGAATGTCATGTGCCGACAGCTTTATATCTGTGACAGCCTGACCTCAATTTCACTTTGCAGTCGTTCTAGTCAAAATGGACAAGAATGCGTGTCATACTATTTGGTAGCACACAAGTCAGCTGAAGACATGGAGCATATGGTTTGGAGGGCTCAAAATGTGACTGGAGGATCCACTTGTTAGTGGCAATGCAAGCAAAAAAAGAAAAAGGGCCAGCTCCTATAATGTGTGCAGTAGCTTTTGCCCAGCTTCCTGCCATACTGTGGGGAATAGAAAGCTTTTAGATAGTGCATGTTTGATTCTAAATTAGAGATATGGAGGAATTCATTTACCAGCTTGAAATTAGTATTCTTCTTACTTCTAGAATATTTGCTATGCCCTTGTTTTTTTTTTTCTGCAAAGAAGAAATGTCGCTCCATGTTAAAGGAAGATCTTCTATCTTGTAAAGACTATTTAGTGCTTCCCTTTTAACCACCAATGTTTAAGGGTGTGCACTGGCCTAGAATCGCAGTGCCTGGCTTATTTCCTTTTCAGAGGGATGTGATGACTCACCTTCTTCGGAAAGTCTGTCTGTTTATCTCCATCTGCAAGTGGCTCTTGCTGAACAAGTCAATCCATTGCAGTTTAATCAAAACAAGCTTGTGCCTTGCAGGAGATGAGCCCTTTGTAGGCTTTACTTATAGATATCTGTGCCTTCCTCTTAAAGAACAGAGAAGCAGAGAGGAAGTTGGGAAGGCAAGATTTTGGAACATTGCCCTACCCCGAAGTATTTGGGCATCTCTCTGACTTACCAAAAGGATTGCTTAAAGAACAAACAGAAAGTTGTCACCAGAAATAACTTAGCAAACTGGCTGGGTCATCCTAGGGTGCACACCAACAAACAATAGGAATAACAGCTTTGTCCCTGTATTACTGCAGAGCAGAATGTGCTAGTGTCATATGGTATAAATCAGCACATGCCAAACGAGTGGATGTAGCTCTTAATGAATCATGAAGCCTACCCCAATTGAAAAAGTCCATTATTTGGCTAGCATTTCCCCTCCAGATGGATGTTGAGAGGTTCTAGCAAATAATGAACCAAATAAGGTAGAACTCCACCAAATCCACACACTTCATGGGCACCAATCCCCTAGAAGACTGAGGAAAAGTTTTCTGCGAATATCACAAGCTCTCAGTATTAAACCAGAAGAGGCTGGGCTAAAGCTGTGAAGAACAAAACAACACACCTCGCTGAATGGAGGAAGGCTGAAAAGGGTCTTCCACCAGGACAAGAGTCTAGCTGAACCATCTGGAAGTCCCTTAATACAGTGGTCCCCAACCTTGGGCCTCCAGATGTTCTTGGGCAACAATTCCCAGAAACTTTCACCACCACCTCTGCTGGCCAGGATTTCTGGGAGTTGAAGTCCAAGAACATCTGGAGGCCTAAGGTTGGGGACCATTGCCTTAATAGACTTTGAAGCAAAGTAGGTAAATAAAAGCCTAATCAAGTAAAACAGGGCTACCAGGACACATTTTCTGTGACTGTGGAGAAATTCAATCAATGCAGCATTTATGTGCATGTAATTTATGCCCCACCCTATGTACAAAATATCTAGCACATGGCTGAGATAATGCTATTGAAGTAGCCACGTTTCTGTTCAAAAATAGTCGAATAGTCGAGAAGGAAGGATGATGCCACTCAGAAACTGTTCATCTTTGCCCCTTCTGACTCCTTTAAAATAACAGGACTAACTCTTTTTTCCTTCTTCTGTGCATTGATGCGCACACCGCACACAACAGTGTACAAAATATCTAGCACATGGCCGAGATAATGCTATTGAAGTAGCCACGTTTCTGTTCAAAAATAGTCGAATAGTCGAGAAGGAAGGATGATGCCACTCAGAAACTGTTCATCTTTGCCCCTTCTGACTCCTTTAAAATAACAGGACTAACTCTTTTTTCCTTCTTCTGTGCATTGATGCGCACACCGCACACAACAAAACTTATTGTGCTAAGAAGCCACCAGATGCTTAATCTGGAAATAGAAGAAGGAAAAGCAAAGGAAACTTAAAAGTTTTGCTGCCATGGAAACAGCTTTTGTTATATATCTTCAAGTGCTTCTGCAAGACTTTTATGAGCTTGGTGCTTTTTTCCTTCCAAAAATTTAGATAGACAGTATTGCCCAGGGGGAAATGGAAGGATGTTGGTGAAGGTGAGAGGAAATCAAGCCATTTCAGGAGTTGTTGAGTTAATGGAAGTTCTCACCAAGGGAAGTTTATATTAGTTGAAGAAAAAGCTGCTAAATGATGATAATTTTCCTGTCTAAATTCTCTCTCTCTCTCTCTCTCTCCCCTTCTGGCTTCGATTTTAGATTGGCCATGTTGTTTGGAAGGATCTTTATTAATGCCGCCTTCTATCTGTCATGTTCCTTCTCTTTTTGGCTCCCCTTCTTAAGATCATGTTACCTGAAAGCAAGTCACAGTGTATTTACTTTTAGGGACATACACAGAGGACAGCAGGAAGTTAACAGCGACTATTAAACTCTGTAGAGCATCCCTGTCTACATAGGATTAGGCTGTGTCATTGAAAAATTAAACGAAGCTTCGTGTAATCTCCTTTAAAAACTTGAATGTGCGTGTAATCAGGAGGTATGAAATATCTTTCTAAATTACTTCCTTCTTCTATTCTAGGCTTTGGATGGGTTTCTCATTGCACTTACCACAGATGGGATTATTATTTATGTATCTGATAGTGTTTCTTCTCTTCTTGGGCATTTACCGGTAAGTTCTAACAATGGAGTGTTTGATAGTGTATTTAATCAAGCTTACTTTTAGGGACATACACAGAGGACAGCAGGAAGTTAACAGCGACTATTAAACTCTGTAGAGCATCCCTGTCTACATAGGATTAGGCTGTGTCATTGAAAAATTAAACGAAGCTTCGTGTAATCTCCTTTAAAAACTTGAATGTGCGTGTAATCAGGAGGTATGAAATATCTTTCTAAATTACTTCCTTCTTCTATTCTAGGCTTTGGATGGGTTTCTCATTGCACTTACCACAGATGGGATTATTATTTATGTATCTGATAGTGTTTCTTCTCTTCTTGGGCATTTACCGGTAAGTTCTAACAATGGAGTGTTTGATAATCTCTGGGTTAGTGATTGAAACTTTGCTGTAGATTATTGTATAACCTTTAAATGGTATGCACCTCTAAATGGAGGGCTTCTCATGCTACCAACCCAAGGTGTTGTACAACTATTCCATGTTCTCCCCCCCCCCCCC